GTACTGGATAATGGAAATTTGCTAAGAGAGTAGAACTGAAATGTTCTCAGCAAAAAAAAAAAAAAAGGCGGGGGGGAATAAATACGTGAGGTGATGGGTGTGTCAATTAATTCAATGGGGGGGGTCCTTTCACATATATGTATATCAAATCATCACATTATGCACTTTAAATATCTTACAATTTTATTTGTCAGTTATACCTCAGTAAGCTGAAAGACAAGACAGATGTAGGTGTCTCTCTGAGCTGTGTTCCTCCGACTTAGGACAACTGCAAGTACGTGCCAAATTCTGGCCAAGAGGATGCAGATGGAGATGGCATTGGAGACGCTTGTGACAACGATGCTGATGGAGATGGGATCCTGAACGAGCAGGTAGGTGCCTGCTTTGCTGAGAGCGCCTGTGAACTGCCACATACCAGGGCTGGCGGAAGAGAGCCCGTGAAGTCAACCATTTCTATGAGTCAGCCCGAATGTTAGTTTCCATGCCTGCGCTCCCAGAGCACCACAACACTTTATTCTAAGATTCTCATATGTTTAAAATGTAAAGTTGATAAACTTGGGCCTCCTGAGTTCTGTCATCTCCTGACAGTTGGGGGTGGAGGGTGGCTGGCATCCACGGCAGGACCAGGCACACAGCAGGGATTCAGTAAAAGACAGGGTTAATGTTGGTCTCCTGGTCCCTTAGGATAACTGTGTCCTGACCCACAATGTGGACCAGAGGAACAGTGACAAGGACATCTTTGGGGATGCCTGTGATAACTGCCGGAATGTCCTAAATAACGACCAGAAGGACACTGACGGGGATGGAAAAGGAGATGCCTGCGATGATGACATGGATGGAGATGGTGGGTTTGTCTTGCTTTGTCTTTTACTTGGGACCCATTTGTCCTTTTCCCCCTGTTCTCTCTTAGGGGCAGGAATAGAATTACTGACTCAGGGCCTTCCCACTCTGGATGGCTCCACTTGTTCCTGTGGAAGGAGACTCCACGGCCCCCTCCCCTATTTAATAACCCTGGTGTTTCTGGAACACCATTGCCAGAAACTGGAGGAATCCTGTCAAGCAGTGCCTTGTCAGGGGTGTGTCTTTGTAGGGCAGCTCTCTTCCCAGACTGCACCTGCCCCTCTCCTCGCCATCCTTCTCAAGTGTGAGAGTCCTGGAAGGGGAAGACTGAGCGACAGGGACTGAGCAGGGTCACAGGCTGCAGCCCCTGGTTAGGCTCCTCCTGCAGAGAATCGGGCATTTCCCAGGAGACCGGACAGCCCCTCTCATTCGGAAGAGCTGTTGGGTGGGGCAGCTGCATTGCCCAGCTTGAGGGTCCACTGCAGGGCCTCGTCTTGTGATCTGTGTGAGTGGCATCCCTGGAGCACAACTCTGGAGCCTCCCAGGACTTGAGGAAAGACGTGTTCCTGTATAGCTTCCATGATACATACACGACTGTCATCAAAATACAGGTTGCATCCCATGATTTCTGCAAAACATATCACATCACAGGGCCTTAAAGGAAGATCCTTTTAGAAAAACACTCCCCCTGCCGCCGCCGCACCAACCAACACACACACACACCACTCTAGAATATCCACACTTCTCTAAAACACAGCCTCGCCTTCTACAAGCCTGACTGATGACCCCGATCCAGTGGTGTGCTGGTAAATCAGCTCAACAAAACAAAAAATCCCCCAAGTTGTAGCACTTGACAATTTCCAGGCTATAAATGTTCCTCCAGCCACCAGTGATTTTAGGCTACCAGTACCAGATGACACGATTGAACAGAAAGCTGGGAAGAGATGGGCACCCTGGGCCTGGCTCCAGCACAGCGCTCTCTTGCCCCGAGGCCCCAGTTACAGCTTACACACCCACAAGGTCCTCCTTCTGCAGGGTCAGCCACCTGGCCCTCATGACCCCTTCATCTGGTTGCAGTGATAGCCCTGGTTACCTTGGACAAATTCTAACTCAGGGGCTAAGTGCCTTAGGTCACTGTGCATTTTTAATTCTCCCAGAGTCCAGCCTTTGAGATTACCTCCAGGTACCTGCTGACAAAGGTGGTGGCCCTGATGTCTGCAGCATCTAGAAGTCTGTGTTCCACACCAGTCTGTGATGTTCGCCTGACTCAGGGAAGCGTTCCTTTTCTCCTAGGAATAAAAAACATCCTAGACAACTGCCCGAAAGTTTCCAATCGTGACCAGCGGGACAGAGATGGAGATGGTGTGGGGGACGCCTGTGACAGCTGTCCTGATGTCAGCAACCCTAACCAGGTTCGTAGGATCCAAGGGGATTCAGACTCGAGGCTGAACTCCCCTCTGCAAAGACTGGTTGAGACCAGTGTCTAGAAGAACCCGCAGAGCCCACCGGCTCAGTTGTTTGCTGTTCCTTACCCCTGACAGCAGCGGAGGGAGGTTGCAGGCTTGGGCTTGGAGGTGATGGGAAGCACCTTGCAGGAGATCTGAGGGCCTCTGGATTAATCTCACAGGCTGCAAAGTCCCTCTGAGGTTAGTAATAGGAGTTTAACGATGCCCAAAACAAGTTTTTTCTGCTGAAAGGAAAATGTAACATGGAAATTCACCACTGGGCACTGTGTGTCCCTTTCGTCCCTGAAACCCCAGCGCAGCCTGTGTATGGACATTTCAGATTAGGTTCAGTCAGCGATGAGTGGTTGCTCTTCTCTCTCCTCCTTCCTGTGGATAACTTGGTATGATGTGTCACATATTTTTAAAGCCCTGGGAGCGGGGAGTCATTGTTGCCCTCTGACTCACTGCCATTCGGGCTCGATTCCCAATTGCAGAGGCAAAGCAGAATCCGCTCGCCTCGTCCCCTGCCCGTGGCTGGCTCCCTTCCGACCCGTGCCCGAGCTCCCCGTCTCCACCTGCTGCGTGCTGCCCCGGCGCCCTTCTCCAGTCGGCTCATCTGGTGTGTAGGCAGCCCAGCCACGGAGCGTGGCATTTTGGAAGGCTTTTTTGAAAATGCAGCCTCGTGCCTACACCAATATGGTGTTGTCCTTTTACAGTCTGCACCAGCCCAATTCCAGAGAAGTGATTCCTGAGATCCCATGATGATGGGCCACGTCTGCCTTCTCTGGAACATGCTGTTGTGCACACAGGCCCAGGGATGGATAACACATTCTGTTCTCTTTGCAGTCTGACGTGGATAACGATCTGGTTGGGGACTCCTGTGACACCAATCAGGACAGGTATGGCACCGCTCGCAGCTACGCAGGGCCAGGTGAAAACCCCAGAGGAAGGTTTCTCTTTCTTTTTGCTGCTTTGACATCTCTCTGGGTAGATGGAGGTGCTAGCGGGACAACAGCCCTGCCCTCTGGTCAGGGTCACTGCACCTCCGTGAATGGGGGAGGTGACAGCATCAGGAGGGGTCACTAGGCACTCGAGCCACTGAGATTCTATTACAGGAGAGGCCGTGTAGCATGACGCTTTAGAGATGGGCTCTGGAGTGACACAGCTCCTTACCTTACAAATCAGCTAACCTGAGGCAAGTGACCGAATCTCTGTGCCTCCATTTTCTCATCTGTAAAATGGGGATGACAGTGGAATGGAGCTCTTAGGACTAGTTTCTGTACCATAGAGAGCACTCAGTAGATATTAACTCCTTTGCTATTAGATTCTTTCAGCTCAGGAAAGCTTCACCATTGTCCCAAAATGGAAAGCTGACAGTTTGTGGAAGGATCACTGTTATTTCATTGTCCTTGGAATGTTTTTTTCATTCATTTCCCCTTAGTTGAGTGAAATTGTTCTATGTTGAATTGTGTCAACCCTTCTAGCCTCATATGGATGGAGTCCCACATTAAGACACAGGGCTGGACCAGATGCTACAGGAACATCATCAAGAACAGAGGCACGGGCAGTTCTCCCTAGAGGCACCTGCTGTCCAAGCCTCTAAACCCTTTCATCTCCGTAGGGAATCATAGGGGCAGCGGGACAGGGATGAGAGAGGGAAAGGACCCTACAAGGCAAAGCAGGGGGCAATGTAGCTTCCCTTCTCAACCTCTTCTCAGAGACTGCCCTCCAGACAGGAGCTTTCCAGCCCAACTTTGCTCAAGGACAGCTCCTGTAAAGTCTCACCTCTGTCCTTGTGCTGTGTCCTTGCTGCAAGGTACACATTAGCTACGTGAACTTAAACATACTTCTCAGTCTCTGAGTGCCAATTTCTTCATCTACAAAGTAGAGATAATTAGAGATAATTCACATCTCACGAGTGATGGTAAAAATGAAAGATAATATAGGTAATCCCAGCATAGTGCTCGCCCTCAGGTGACCTGCAGAAAATAGCAGCTGTGGTATTACTGTTATCACAGCAAGGGGGGGAGGCAGGTCAGTGCCAGTGTGACATAGGATGTCTGTTTTTGAGTGGAAGGTGGGAATAGTATGCTGACAACTTCCCTCAATGGTATATGTCAAGAAAGTTCCCTGGTGCAGGTCATCCTGCACTCTGATTGCCCTCCAAGTGATTTCTAAAATATCCTGTCCCACCGGCCTCTAGATATTTGCCTAAAATGAGTCACTCCGCTACATTTTAATTCCCACGAACTAGAGGACAGAAACTGCTTGTTTTTGCATAAAAGTATTCAGGGCTATATGGAATGGCTGCTGGTGGAAATAGCTCCATCTTATGACTTAGAAAGCAGCCCTGCCACATGCCCAGGAATCCCACTGTTGGGGCCCTGTCATCATCTGCTGGTCCAGGGAGACCTCACTTTCTCTGGGCTCTGGGACCCCTGGGAAGCGTGGCCTGAAGGGCATGGACTGGCCCCTGGCTTCCCTCCTGCATCTCGTGTGTGGGGGCAAGTGCTGAGCCAGGAAGGGCCGGGGGTGGAGCCGGTGAAAGGAGTATCTGCTCTAGTCCTGAGTAGCCAGGGGAGGTCTCCATCAACTTAGGGAAACCTGGGGCAGGGCAGACTCACCCTCAGGGGACTGCAAGGCCTGGAAAGAAGAAACACCAGATGGGTGGAGAACAAGGGTTCTGAGAAGTGTTGTAGGGAAGGGAGGCCCTGCTGTCCCTGCCCTCCTCTCTGTGGCATCCACATCTGATCCTCCTGGTCTATGGCCAGAAATGGTGACAAGTCACAGAAAAGGAGACACCGTAGGGCTTCCTAAGAGCCAGGTAATCAGGAGGGCATTTGCATGTATTAAAATGTAATACACAACATTCTAATCATTTAATCTTCCTAACCACCCTGTGAGATAGGCTGTTACTCCCATTGAACAGATGAGGACGCTGAGCCCAAAGGGCCACCTGCTGATGAGCGGCTGAGCTGGGACTCCCTGGGAGCACCTTGGCCCCCGCCCCTCCCACATTCTCTCTGTCAGGGGTCAGAGTCGTGCCCAGGGACTGATAGGAGCATCTGATCATGTAATCACAGAAATTAGTTTGAGGAAGTGGGAAATAGTCTCTGAGGCCCATAAGACAGCCTCATCCAAGATAAAAGACTAAGCCTGGTTAAGACCTCAAACCCTCTCTCCAGAAACCTGGACTGTCCGTGTCCTCTGCTGAACTGTGACGCAAACACCTCTCCTTCCTCCCACAGTGACGGAGATGGGCACCAGGACAGCACAGACAACTGCCCCACGGTCATTAACAGTGCCCAGCTGGACACTGATAAGGATGGAATTGGTGACGAGTGTGATGACGACGATGACAATGACGGCATCCCAGACCTGGTGCCCCCTGGACCAGACAACTGCCGGCTGGTCCCCAACCCCGCCCAGGAGGACAGCAACAGTGAGTGGGCTCAGCCCGGGGCGCCACCTCTGAGCAGCCACAGCTTGTGGGGACAGTAGATGACTAGGAGACGCCAGGTCAGGGAAGAGCTGCTTCTGAGCAGCCCTAGGATGAGATCACGGCGGGACAGGGACGCAGCCACGTGCTCCCGCCCGGGGCTTGGAGAGCTGCTCTGCCACCTTGCTCACGCCTTTCACCAGGAGTCCCAGGGCAGGAGCCAGATAGAGACACGGGCACAGCAGCCCCAGCATAGGTGGATTTGCAAATTCTGAGGTCCACAGGGGCCAAGCTGATAACCTTGTACACAGAGCCAGGGCTGCACCAGCAGCGTGGTGAGGACGGTGGTGATCCGGCGAGGGCACGCCCAGCCCCAGCTATGCAAATTCAAGTTTTAATACCATCGGGTCTGCTGGATAAAACACTCTGAGCTAGATTCAGCCTAAGAAGCACCGTAAATTATTATTAGAATCTGGTGATCATAATTTCCCAGCTTTTTATATGTTACAGTCTAGAAAGTACAAGAGTCATTTGCTTACATAATATGGTCAGGTTGAAGATCCACCAGCTGGTGAAACCCGCATCCTCAGAGGACACCTAGGGTTTCTTGTCAGATCGATTTGGAACAGTTGGCCTCCCCTCTGTCCCCATCACATACAGTGGGCTTCAGCCGCCCACCTCGCAGGCTCCAGGGTGGGGCCTGGACACAGCCGACTCCAAGACTCCTTCCCTGACATGGGTTGAAAGCCTCGCTTGGAGCAGGGCTTGGGCGCTCTCTCCCCCTTACCCGGCCTCCTCCCCGTCGTGGAGCCAGGGCAAGGGGTTGGGGCTAGTACGTGTTATCGAGCCCCCCTCTTCCTCCTCCACCCCCTCAGGCGATGGCGTGGGAGACATCTGTGAGGCAGACTTTGACCAGGACCAGGTCATCGATCGGATCGACGTGTGCCCGGAGAACGCGGAGGTCACCCTGACCGACTTCAGGGCCTATCAGACCGTGGTCCTGGACCCTGAAGGGGATGCCCAGATCGATCCCAACTGGGTGGTCCTGAACCAGGTGAGTGTCCCCGGGCTGGCGGCGGCTCAGCTTTGTCTCTCAGCCCAGGCCCTCCTGAGAGGAGTAGGCAACATTTAGACGGTGCTGACTGCAAGCCAGGCAGTGTTCCCCATCACATTTATTCCTCACAGTCACCCTGTGACAGGGCACTTTCATGAGCCTTGTTTTACCGATGGTGGGATCTCATCTCATAGAGCTGCAATGATTACTCATGGTAGCACCGCAGGTAAGCGGCTAAGATTGCTGGATTTGGGACCGAGGCAGTCTGACCCAAGAGCCATGCTCCTAATCTCTGCAGCAGCCTGCCTCCCATGTGTCTTCTTCATCATGTAACTAAAGAAGGCAGGCACAGAGACGCTTAGTAAATTTTCCAGTGTCACCCAGCAGGTCACATTCATTAGAAGTGTTTATTCTCCAATTAAAGGCTTATTGAATCAGCTTAAGTGACAGTTTTAGCAAAATTATTTCTATTG